ATATAGAGTTACAAGAAGAAAAGTTTTGAAGAATGGATATGCAATTCTATAAATGTACCTAATTATCACCCAGGACTGTACACTTAAAAATGGTTAAGATGATAAATTTTAGATAAACTTACAAAATGAGGGACAGGAACGTAATATAGATCTGTTCAGGGGAGGTACCAGTGGATGGCCAGAGGGTATACAGACAGGGTAAAGGAGGGAGAATATGGTGGATGTACTTTGTATACACATATGAAAATAGAACAATGAAACCTGCTGAAACTGTTCTAAGAAGGGCATGATGAGGGAGAATGACAGAAGCGATGAATCTAATTAAGACATATTTTAAGCACATATGTAAATGTCACAATGAATTCCCCCTGTATAACTAGCATATGCTAATAAATAAAAAACATGACAAATTTTGTTGTATATATTTTATGTCAATTAAAAATTTAAAGGACAAGTACTGGTAATAGGGATGCAGCTCAGTGGTAAAGCACTTGCCTAGCATTCATAAGACTCTGGTGGAGGGGTGGGGACGGAGAGAAGGGAGAAAGGGAAGGGAAGGAGGAAGGGAAGGGAAGGAAACAGAAGAGAAGGGAGGAGAAGGGAAGTAGGAAGGAAACAAGAAGGAAAAAGGGAAAGCACTAGAAACCAAAGCATAGCTATAGTACAAATTATCAGCATTCTATTATGCTACAGATATAAGATATCTCTATAGTCAAAATGTATCACAAAATATACAATGTATCTTTTTTGAAATGACCAGAAGTTAAGTTAAAAGTACTAGTATTCAGTTTAGTGATCAATAATTCCTCTTGTTGGTCTCTGGCTTTTCTGCTAGACGGTATTGTAAGTTATCAACTGATATGGAAAACAACAGAAGAATGTAATTATAATTTTGTACCAACATGCTATAACCCTGGAGGGGAAGGAATCCTAAAACATGGCCATAATTTGTCTCTCATTTCCATATTCATAAATCGACATTTATGGGGAAAAAACAGGGTCTAAAGTTTGGTCCTTTTTTCAGATTAAGAAGTGCTTCTTTTTGTTTCATGTTATCAACTCAGTTCTTCCTTCCACAGCAGTATGATATGGTGGGAAAGAACCCTAAATTCTAATTAAAAGAACAGTTGCTCTCTTAAAAAAAAAAAAAGAAAAAGAAAAAGTGCTCTTAATCCCTGATATCACTGTTTCCATTTTAAAAAATGTAATCTTTCTTCTCTGAAATCCCTAGAAGGTAAGTACATCTATTATAAAAATGGCTAGCAAACCACATTAATCAAATCATCAAAACATTAATAGCACTTAAATTTTATATTGGAATAAGAAATGGGAAAGAGTAAAGTTCTGGTGATTATGAAGGAAAATAAAATGGAATTCAAACTCTACTTTTATATAACTGATGAAGAACTTCCAAAGACAAGCAGGAATTATCAAAACTTTGTCAGAAGACAAGCATTGTTTATCAACTTTGTGTTTTTATTTAAAACTAAAAATAACACTAATAGACTGTTCCTAGTAAGATTCTCTAAATTTATAACATCAACCAACATGTAGAACAAAATAGGCAACTAAATGACCACTGCTGAATAAATATGAATGGATATTCAGATAATCAAAAATCACTTAAGATTTCCTATTTTGTCTAACTCTAACCTTTGCAGCCTATTGGGGCTCAAGACAAACAGGACATCCTCAGACACAGTGTCTGTCCCTTTTGCCTACAAAGCTCTTCTTGTGATTCTGCCTATTCTAAGTCCAACCATCTGCCAGATCCTTCCAAACTATCAAATTCTACTTAAGGGCATCAGACTTTTATTATACGATATATCTCATCTTAACTGAAATAGCAGTTAAAGTTTTGTCTGCACACTTATTTAATTTCTTTGATCCTTTTGACTATAGGCTCTCTAAGGGGTGATGAATAATATTAACCACCACTTGAATCCCCTGTGCAAAGTGCAGGGCACGCAATGCAAATATTTGTGAGTAAATGAACTTACATAAGACAAATCTTTCTTACCAAAATTATTTTGGCAGTATAACATTTATACAACCAGTATTTCTTGAAAAAAATGATAAATGATATGCCTAATTTTCATCACACAACATAAATACCAATGCCTAAGGACTTCACAGTCACTTTACATTTATCTTTTTGACAGATAACGTCATTAATCACCATCTGTTTACATGTACTATTCTAAATAACATTTTGGTTACATTTCTGAAACACCTCCTGCCATTAACCTCATTTCTAGAATTCTGTCTCATACTAAAGCACCTGGATTTCAGGAAAACAAACCTGAAACTCACACACTAAACCAAACTATTATGTAAATGACAGAAACATGGTCTGCAACACCTCTAGACTACTTCCATATGAATTTAACTTTTACCACTGAAATTCTGTCACTTGATTATAGACATTCTGAATCCATGATAAATACATCACAGATGAAAAGAAATAGTTTTTCCAACAATCTTTACGAAAGTCAGTCTTAAAGAATACCACCAGTGACAGGTTTTGTAGGTTCCTATCAACGTATTTGGTCAAGATGCACTTCACTTTTTGTGATAATTATATTCTGAAAATACTGCAAACTTAATTTATACAAAAAAATAGTATGTTGTTGATATATCAGGACTAGGTCTGAATTCTAGTCATTCCACTTTTCATTTGTGTGGTTTTAAGAACATGGCATAAAATCTCTGACCTTCAGTTTCCTCACAGTTTTAAATCAGATGATTCCTGCCTCCTAAGATAAATAAAAGGTGGTGATTAATCAAAATGCTGCATAAATAACAGCTACAGTTAATAAACAGAATAGCACAACCATATAAACTAATCAGAATTTAGCAACCAAAATCTGACGTAACCTATAAATTAGGAAAAAGGAAAGCAAGGCCCCATCTTTCTTGGTCAGAGCAAAATGAAGATTCAAAAATGCAAAATAGGGAAACAGGGAAAGCCAGAATGTTATGCTAGCAAAAACCAGAACTCCTATATTTTTGTATTGACAAACAATTCATATTTCTAACCTATTCAAATTCAAGTAAGAACCAAAATGGAAATGGCCTAAAGCCAAAAGAAAAGTTATATATATCAACTGAGCACCAAAAAAGTCCTGAAGCTCTTTGTCTCTGTTTGAGGAGAAACTGCCCAACTGCCCACACACAGGAAAGATGAGGCAGGAAACTGTTCTGAGAGAACCTCCACCTGGTAGCCAGTTTTGGTCAAACAATTTTGAAAATTCTCTACTTCTCAACTTTCTAGTCAGTGACAAAATTTTGTAAAAACCACTTTCTTGAAAACTGGGTAAGGTGGTACATGCCTGTAACCTCATAAGAGGCTATGGCAAGACCACCATGGGGTACATAAAAAGACCCTGTGTCAAGATAAAACAAAAGCCTTCTCTCCATACACACACTCTGTCAACTCCCCTGCTGCTCAGTGTTTTTCTGGATGTCACAGTGAGAAATATAGACTAATCTTACAATTTTCTAGCATAACAAAAAGAATGTTATGCTCTGTACACCACTATTACTGACAACACTGTTACCGACATTAAGTAATATTAAAATAAACTTTCCCTTAAGAGTTTAAAGTATTTATAATAAAGAAACTACAGTATCACTAAAATATATGCTAGAACTGAACAGTCTACAAGTACCAGGAGGCGTAAATCTCAAAACAATTTTGGAACTCTTCTTTTGGAAATGTCTTCAGAGTCTGTGGGAATCCTTTAGGGTACTCATGGTAGAAGGAAATACAAATAAATTACAAAGTTAACAACAACAACAAAAAAATCACATGCTAGACACTTGATCAGAGCATGAACATAAGCAACAATGCTGCCTTCATGAAAATACAAGCCACTTGGAAATCATACTGTGACACTAAATCAGAACTACTCATTCTAATTCTTACAGTAGATTGAGCTTTGAGTTACACAGTATCCTACAACATTAGTCTATGCTTCTGAAACTGTTTCCAATTCCTGTTACTGATTTTTCATTAAACTAGGTACCTTGCTTTCTAAATTAACAATTTCTTTCCCCTTAGGGCTAGGGACTGAATCCAGGGCCTCATGTAGGCTTGCAAGTGCTCAAGCACCGATTTACACTCCCAGACTCAAAAGAACTGCAACTATATTCTTTTGTACAATCCTGAGGACTCACCATCTGAATCAGATAGACATAGCTAGCTAATTCTCCTTATTTGTGGTAGTTATAGTCTATAAAGTCAGTAAAAACACTGAATTTGCAAATACTGATCCAGTGTACCTAGGGGAAATAGGTGATACGTTTTTGTGTCTTTGTCACGATATGATCATTACCTACACACAGCCATACTTTATGTGTGTTTCTTTGTCAATACAGCACTGTGCCTGGGATCCATTTAAAATAGCAAAACCCATGAAAATAAAAGCACAGAAAACACAGCACTAACTAGACTATGAAATGGGTGTTTTTTACAGTATGACAGGTGAAACAAGAAGGCAGAGCATTGCTTTGTCTGCCTTCAGATAGGAATATGAACACCATACAAATCAAATTTCTTACCCCTAGTGCACAGCATGAAAGACTTCAAAAGCTCTTCAAGTATTGACTTGAAAATTGACTTGCAAATAAATTATAGCAAGTAAGATAATCAGCAAATAAAAACCATGAACTATTAGCAATGTCTGTGTATGAGTCAAATATTTCAGGGTAATGTTTGATTTGATTACTAACAACAGACATGACTCCGAAAAACCTCAATACTGTTTAGTTATCATGCAACATAAGAATTGTGTACTAAGTGCTTCAAGAAGTAAGACATCTGAGACTTTCAAAAATGGGTATTTTTTTTTTTTTATCTATACCTATAATCTCAGTACTTAGGAGGCAGAGATAGGAGGCTGGCCAGTTCCAAATTAGCCTGGTATACACAGTGAAATCAAGGCCAGTGAAACTATGTCTCAAAAAAAAAAAGCATTTTTCAAAGAGTTACTTCCTACCTGATATATTCTAAAAGGGATATAACGAAATCCATTTTCTTCTGCAGGATATTCCATGAGTTTCCGATTGATGGCCCAAAACTGGTCAAACCTGTCTGCAATGATATAAAGTAATGACTGAAAATGAACATCATTGTGCAATACCTCATATGAAGACATGAAAGTCTTAACCTCTAAGAAGCTTCTGGGAAATAACATTATTTTCTCTTAAACTTATTTCTTCTTAACTGAACATAAATATGCAATTTTCTAAATATTTTCCTCTTCCCACTCATATAGGCATATTTTCTTATAAGAGAATCCCGAAACAGATACATGACTACTTCTGTTATTAGACTAAGAACAGCATGTAGAGACAGATATCTTTATTCCTGGTCCTATTCCTACAGCTAACCTATAAAAGCACAAATTTAAGTAACCTAAATGCTAAGCTAGAACTTGTATAAAGAATCAAATTAAAATACCGAACACTAATTCAACATCAAAAATAAAAGCAATAAAATGGTTTTTAAAAGAAATGTGGAACTGGCCCTTGTAAACTGTCCAGTGCAGTTCAATCTCAGATTAATTTCCTTTTTTCAGAAAGATTTTCAGGTTTGATGCAAGCATTACTAGGATACAATTTGCAAATCGAATTTCATTTGTTTTTATTCTCAAGTAAACATTTCATGGTATGGATTTACAAGATTTTGCTTTAGTGATGAGTTTACAAACATTTGAGTTGTTTCTACTTTTTGGCTATTGCAAATAATGTCACTAGGAACATGAGCACACACATTTTGGGGGGAACATATATTGTTAATTGTCTCATGTAGTACTGTAAAAGTAGACTTGCTGGATTATACCACAACTCTGTTCAACTGCTACATGGTAACTATGTTCTGAGGAGCCAACAACCTGTTTTCCAAAATGAATGAACCAATTTCCACTCCCACCAGCAAGGCATCAGTTCCAATTTGTCCATGTCATGGCCAGTGCTAAGTATATTTTCCTAGTTGGTGTTGTAAGAAAAATGATCTTTTCTGTCAAAGTATTTGTTACCCTCTTAGATTACTTAAAAATTCCTCAGGTCACCATCTTAGGTAACTTGCATGTTTAAAGAGTCCTTGCTTTTTCTTCTGGATTCTTGTATGACTCCATTGCCCACCAAACTGCATGCCCTAACCCATCCCCCAAGCCTTTTATCCAATCGAGGGAGATTGTGAACCTCTGACCTGAACAAATCCCAGGTGAGAGGCAGGTACGACTGTGTCAGGGATATAAAGAGGAGCCACTCTCAGCCATTTTGTGCTTTCGTGTTTGCTTAGTGGGAGTGAGCACATGCTTGCACCCTCTTGATCAAGAGAAAATTGCCTTGTCAAGATTTGCTGTCTCTTGTATGTCTGTTTTTAACACTGGAGGATTATTAATTCCAACAGTGTGAAGGAGCAACTCACAGTGGTTTTGATTTGTATTTTCTAATGACTAGTAAAGCTGAGCGTTTTCTGTGTACTGGCCATTTGTGTATATTATTTGGACAAATCCTTTGTCCTTTTTAAAATTGGGTTCTTCAGAGCTGGAGCTTATAAGAATTCTTTACACATTTTAGATACAAGCCCTGACCCAATATGTGATTGCAAATATTTTCTCCACTTCTGTACATTGTTTTTTAAGCAGCTCTGTTTTAGCTTGCCTAGGATTCTAGGTTATAAAAAATACTTTTATACTCAGAAAATTTTATCAGAATCAAAACTCTGTAAAGCAAGTAAGAGCTACAAAATTTCAGCTCAATACTCTACTACTGGACTTGTCTTACAGAATCTAAGTATAGTCTACTAATACTGCTTAAGTCTGTATTAACTATACAAAAAAAATTTAATTGCCTCTGTGATGTCTGTCCTAGAGTAGGTGACAGATGTAAAGCCTTTGCTTTTATCTTCAACTCCAACCTGGGGGATTATTCATTCCACATTAGAACTAGTTGGATAGGGAATTCTGAATCTAGTTAGTCAAGTACAATTTCACAGATGATGAAGCCCAGATTAAAAGACCAGAATCTGGGTCTTCCAATTGAATACACAACTATTTCAAAAAACTATATGAATGCTAAGAGTAGCTCATTTGGGACAGCATTTCATATAAGCACCAATTATTCTTTCAATATTTAAAAAAAAACTATCATAAGGCATCAAGCAATAATGTGACAAGGAACTAAAATGATTCTTTATACAGACTTGAAATGCCTCAGCCATATATAGAAAGACAGATCTCAAACAAAAAAAATGAACAACAAATCACAAACAAGGAAATAACAAAATGGGGATTCTCTAATCTTAAACCCTGTAAATAGCAAGGTAACTAAAAACAAAGCCATTACATTAACTAAATTAATTTAAACCATTAAATTCAAATTTAATTCAAATATTAAGGTATTAAGTAATTTATTTTTTCCCCCTCCTTAAGCAGTACTGAGGTCTGAACTCAGGGCACTCTACCATTTGAGCACCACACCCCCAGCCCTTTTGGTTTAAGTTGTTTTGTTTTTTGTTTTTGTTTTGATAGGGTCTCACGTTTTGTGCAAGCTGGCCTTGAACCTGAATTCTGCTACCTATGCCTCCCACATACCTGGGATTAGACATGCACCACCATACCTGCTTATTTTGAGATGGGAGCCTTGCTAACTTTTTGCCTGGGCTAGCCTTGAACTCTAATCCTCCCAAGTAGCTAGGATAATAGGTATGATAATAGGCCACTACACTGGACCCTAAATAGTTTCTAATGTCTCTTCTAAAACTAAACTTTTGATTAAGACTCCTCCTTTATTAAAATGAACCTGTTTAAAAAAAAACCCACACAATCCAACCCTAATTAATATAGATTTACACTGATTCTAACACACACACACACCATAAAGCAGTAATTCCCAACCAAGACGATTTTGCACACTAGGGAACATTTGGTAATATCTAGAAACATCTTTGGTTGTCAAAACTGTATATATGAGTAGCATGTAGTGGCTTAAAGACAAGAATGCTGCCAAATGCCAATGCTACAGTAGGACCCTTGGTATTCCGGAGGACATGTTTCCAAGGAGACCACTGTTGAAGAACAACCGCAAAGCTTAGGATGATGTATAGAGCTCAGTACAGTACTGCTGATGGTTGGCTCATTTTTTCCCATAATTCCACCCAACTTCGGCTAAATATACACTGCCTTTCAACAAATCTAAAATTTTTACTTCATCGTTTAAGTTAAGCACATTCACTTTTACCTTGCTTTTGGGGAGACTTATTTTCACAAATTTAAGAGCAGGGAAACACTCAACTTATCACAAAATGACTTAAACACAACTAATGACAATGAGGGACTGACTGAGGGCTTTTCTGCATCAACTGAACTGTGTAACCCACAAACAGGAATTAAAATTTTTTTAAACCACATGCAATAAATCCACAAATAAGGTGGGCTTACTGTATAATACATAGGACAACTCTCTCACCTGACCCAAAATGTCAATGATGCTAAAGAAAGGATTAATCAAAGGCACAGAAAGGCAATTAGTAAAAAGATTTGTAAAACACAGGGCCAAAAAACCCCCCAAAAAAAAAAAAAAAAGATGTAAACTGGGGAGAGAAAAAGGGGATATTACTGTGGCAGTTACTAACTTACTGACCTTCAGCTCCAAATTCACCCTTCAGTATATGCACTGACATAGGGACACAAATCCTTTGAAATTCTCTACAGTAACAACCACTGTCCAATTTCTTAGCAAAGAGTGCTAAAAGACTGCAGGCCAAATGGCTCTGCTATAGTTCCCAACAGCTGCACAGTAGAGCAGTGGCATTGGGGTAGGGACCTCAAATGGAGTATCACCCTGGCCACATGCCCAGGTATTCGGTCTTCTCAGGGACATAGGCAGAGCAACTCTGCCTAGAAATAACCTGCCCTCTCAATACACATTGCAGCACTTCAAAGGCTTCCTGCCTGCACAGGCACACTGGAGGCCAAATGCACTGATACAGTCTCCCCTTTCCCACAGATCCCTAGTCCCTCTACATGCCACGCCACCTGTCGCTAATCAGCTGCACTCCAGATTGCCCTGACTGCACATGGACTAGACTGCCTCTGATCTGGGCACAAGAGTAACCTTGTCTAATTTGGTGGACTAAACTATACCTTCCTTACTGAGGTCCAAACACCAGTGCTATGGAAAGGGGTTCCATTCAAGTTTGTCTGTCCATTACTCTCAGCCCTACTTATATACCATAAATAGCCTTCTCATATCACTTTTTTATTAGAGTTTAATAATTCTTTATAAAACTTACCCTGCTTAAACCCACTATGAGGTGTCTATCTCCTGGCTGGGCCCAAATAGATACAACTACTTTTGAAAGGAAGACACAGTAAAAGAACTATATTAATCAATGTTCTTTTTTAATCTTCTTATAAAATGTCATATTCTTATAAGAAATGAGCATTTTCTAAGCTATTTTAAAAGCACAGAATAGACTAAATTTTATAGGTAAAAGTTACTAGAAGATATAACTAGAAGTAAAAAAAATTAGTGTTAAGATTGAGTATACAGCAAGTGCCATTCACACTGATTTTTTGTAATATTTCTATCTCTTCCACACTCTAGTCAGTAATTAAAAATAAAAGTTAATAAAAGATGCTTTACTATCTTCTTAAATATTAACAAACCAAAAACATATCAACTTGTTTCGAAGAAATATATTAGTAGTGGCACTATACTATTAGTTATTAAAAGTCATAAAACTAGTGATTTGTTTTATAGGCCATCAAGACCAGTACTTTTAAATAATAAAAATCATAATGATCTTTGGCTATCCAATTTTTAAATTGTATATAATTACACATCTGTTTTGTATCTATAATAAATATACAGCAACTTAAAAAACTTCAAATTTAAAAGAACGAAGTAGGAAAAGATTAAAACTAGCAGTTACTTAATTTATTCATACACTAGGAAAAAAGAAGATAACAAATACACTCCCTGACCAAACTTGCAATATGACTAATAACTGTTTTCTTTTTTTAAAACAATTAACATTTAAGACTACAAAATCAAGCTTCATTTTTTGTACTAAAGGAACAC